CATTTAAAATTTGGAAGAAAATTTCAGTATCATGACTTTTGCTTGAAATAATAAAACAATCATCCATAAACCTTTTCCATGTTACCTGTAAATAGCCTCAAAATAGTTCGGCAGAAGACCAAATTTTACTCTCCAGAAAACTCATTACGAGGATTGCATATGTTGGTGCAACTTTAGTGCCAATAGCAGCTCTTGAGATTTGATGAAACAACAATTAGATAAAATTAAATCTAGATCTTTTAAAATAACCTCTTCTTAATACAATCCATATGATTATCAAAATAAAACTCAATTGCTTTTAATCCAACAGCATCAGATGACACTAAAAGGTGATTTGGTTCTACATTTTAGGTAACTGATTTACAAAATCCATACTGCATTTGATATAACTTTTCACATTTGAAATAAAATGTTTCAAAATAATATCCAATAAATTACTCAACAGTTCAGTAATCTTATTTTTCCCCCTGCAGTAGGTTTTGGAGTAATAAGATGATTTATTTTGAAACTTGAATTGTAAAAGAATTAAAAAGTATAATTTTAAAGTTCAATTTATTACTTTTCCATAAAATTTAGATGTTTCCTGGTTTTTATACTGAAGAGTAACCAGTGATGCTGGTTAAATAAAGAGGAGTTTGGTAAAAAAAGAAACGATTTGAGTTTTTTGTATATGTATATATTCATCTTGAAATGAAACCACCTTGATTTAAAGTTTATATATATAGGTTATACTAGTTGGAGTACCCATCCATTGGATTGGTGAAATAAAATCTCATTTGTAACAAAGGATAGGAAATTGTGTTTCTCTTTTTTATTTTTTTGTAACATGATAAACATTAAAAGTGCAATAAAAATATATAAAGGTACCAATACTGAAAAGAAAGATGTACTGTTTTTAAGAATTCTATCTATATTAAAGTATATGGGGGGTTGAACCCCTGCCCCTGATGATCTTTCTCATGTCATTCTTGTATCACTGTGTCAAGCTGTGATGATTTGGTAGTTTTTCCAAAATTAGATGGGGCCTTGTGTATATGCATAATGAAATATATACATAGCACTAGAGTTTTTCATTATATTTCGTAACCTACTTGATGACAGGTAACAGGTAAAGAGGGAACAGTATGTATACATGAAAGAAAATTTGATGTACATGTGATTGGTTTCATGAATGTATCATTGTGAAAGAAATTAATAAATAATCCAAAATGCTTTGTCTGGTATGTCTAGACACTAACTGTAAAACTGCATGATATTTCAGTATTTGTAAGCTTTTTCTTTATGAAACAGATTTTGAGAATATTGTGGAGTTTTTTCATAAACTCATTGTTGATTTGCTGTTTATTTTGTATTTGTAAACTTAGAAACATAAATTTTGTGTTAATTTTGCACAAGTATAATTCTATGTATTAATTGAAATATGTTGGTTATCGTGAAACGTAAAAAAGCTTTTGAAGATATTTTTAATAATTTCAGGTAATTTCAAAGTGACTTGTTCATTTTAATATATTTTCACTTATGTGAAAGAGTTATTTTTAAAATTCTATTGGGAAGTAGTTACATTCAACATATAAATATTGTATTTTACATTTTATAAAATTATGATTCCATATAAAATTATGATGGACTCTGTTAAAGAAATGAAATTCATTGATCAAAAAGAAGCTGTAATATCAAGGTTGCATCATTGTGTAACATGAAGCTAGATTTCAAAACCTGAACTTTTCTATAGTTACATTATTTTGGTGAATTTTAGAATTCTACTATAAAAAGGGAGAAAAAGTTGCATTGACCTATACTAGTAAACACAATTACTTGGAAAATAAGTTTAGAGAGTAATATAGAGTATGGACAAGACTGGAAAATTCATATTTTGTTTTTCATATCTTGAGACAAAAAATGTCGTGTATTATGTGCAGGAAAAACTTGGCAGAATATTTGTATTTACAATGACATGTTTCATACTTGTGATTGTTTATCACGGTACATAGTACAGAATAACAAAAATGAAGTTTAAGAATACACATTGATATTTAATAGATAATAAAAAACATACAATGGATAATGATTTCATTAATGTTCATTCAAGATGAGTATACATCAGAGCATACTTAGTCAAAAAAAAAATGATCCTTCCTCCTCCCCCTCCAGGTACTGTCCAAGATGCAAAGAACACAGGGAAGCTACTAAACAGTTGTCTTTATGGCGACTGCCACCAGTACTTATCATACAACTGAAACGATTCTCCTTCAAAAACCTGATTTGGCGAGACAAAATTGACAAGATGGTGGAATTTCCTTTAAGGTACGTAACATTATTCTACCTACAAAATCAGTTGTTAAAACTCACAATTCTCAAAGTTCAGTGTACCTAGGTATCCAGTTATTAAAAACCAAATCTGAAGCTTCATTGAACCTATGTGTAGTTATTGAAATTCACAGTTGTTAAAATTCATAACTGTGTTTATATAATTTAAAATGTTTTTAATACAGAATTTCAAATGATCTAAACCCATTCATCCAGTTTTTGTACTGTATAACAATATAAGACAAAAAAGATAAATGGTAGGAACTTATTAACCGAATTTATGAAGTGTATCTTCACAAAATATGGCAAGCTTTTGGTAAACAGTATAAATCTGTTGTACACAGAAACTTAGAAACTGTTAATAAAGTTTTTATACTAAATATATGTCTGTAAAAGTCCAACATCAGTTTGACTCAGACTCTTAGTTAGAGTGCAAGGTGATATTCACCTGAAGAATAAAAATACTTTTGTCTCTCGTACAGTTTGCAGATTGTATTTGCATAGCCTTTATAACCTCTTTAATGTATATATAAAGTTTTTTTCTCAGTATTCCTGTATAATGTATCTGGTATGTTCTCTAACATGAACTGTTGTGAAATCAGCAATGTAAAGTAATATCAAGGCATGCATACTGCACCCCCCCCCCCAACTCGTGTATATGGGGTTAACTATCTGAGACTATTCAGTTTTCATATTGCCATACTTCATTTTTTGGAGGGGAAAATGTATACTGTCTACCACTTTCTACTGTTGTTTTGTAATGTAAAAAAATGAATGAGACAAACATCAAAAAGAGAATGAATTGTTTCAGTTTCTACATGTGTAACCCATTTTCACATGAAATTCTTCTATAACAAGTGACTTGAACTGGAATTATGACATAAGTAAATATTACAAAAATTAGGTTCAGAACACTTGGTGGCACTCTGCCTTAAAATGTAGTTGATTTCTCTTATCATTGTCAGACATGCAAGATATATGTGTTATTTCATACGTTTTGAAACTATTGTGATCAACTAGCAATAATTTTATGCTAAACAATTAATTGGATTTTAAGGGTTACAAGTTGCTTGGTATTCTATACAGTGTGACACATGGTTAAGGGTGAGCACTGTTGTCATTTCTTTTTATATAGTAGGGGATTTATTTAAATATGTGTTAACAAAAATTACATATTATTGTATTACTTATGTGTAAAGAAACAATGTTTTTCAGAGGATTGGATCTCAGTCCATACTTCTGTGGTCCAATTTCACCACCAGGTGTTTCTCCACTATATGATCTTTATGCAGTCATCAACCATCATGGGGGAATCCTGGGAGGGCATTACACAGCATTTGGTCGATGTGTGAATTTACAGAATACAAGAAGAAGTGAAATAGGTGAGGCTATTCAGTGTGCATGCTCGCCTAAATTGTTGATTATATTTGTGTGTAAAAATTCATTTCATTAACAATAAAAACTATACCTAGAGAAAACCCATAGTAAATGGAACAAACTGTCAGAAGTATTGATATTGTAAAAACTAGTTGTGAAACATTTGTGTCATCTCTTCAGTCACAAGTTGTCTGAAGAGAACACATACATGTGTCAAAACTAGTTTCTCCAATATCAAGACTTGTGATCATTTGTTCAATATACACTGGTTTTTTTCACTAATTGCTATGCATGGTATTGTGTTGTTATTACTATACTTAGAGCTTACTGTTTTAAGAAAAATAGCATTGATGAATTATTTTGATTTGATCCATGTTTTAGGTTTACAATTATTACTCTCAGATTTCTACAGGTTAAAATGTAATGTATTTTGAAGTATTTTTTATATATAAATGTGCATTTCTTTTTCATGTGGAAAAATACAGGCTTTACTACTAGTTGGTTCTCAACCTGTATTAAAGAGCCCATTTGTGGGAAAGTTCAACACTTATTAAATAGGGCACAACATGTCTCAGAATGCGATGTACTTACCTTCAATGAGAAGTTTATGATAGTGAGTTAGGCTAATGATGAGAATCAGTTAGGAATTCATAAGCATTTGATAACTGTTGATTTGAAACCTTGATTGAACCAACAAAATTCTGCAATACCACTCCTCTTAAAAGTGAAAATGTATAATTTATTTTTATAGCTACTAAAACAAATTAAGTTTCATTTACTGAAGGAAACTAACTTTTTTGTAATACCATAGAATACCAAGTGTAAAAGCAAAGAATTATATTGTGTGGGTGCATTTAAGTTCAAGTTTTAATTTATTGTGATGTATTACTATCTTTCACAAACTTTTGTTGTACTACTTTGCTTAATTTGTTTATAATCATAGTCAGCACTAGTTCTGTTAGGTTGCTACTACATTATATTTGTTACCAGTTGTAGGTTTTTGCTTATCGTTCTACATAGATGGTACTTGAGGCTACAAATTTATGCAGGAAAGAAGTGGGTAAATGGGATGTGTATAAGTTATCCTCCAGCTGATGTAAGAGATATACTATAGAGATTTAAATAAAACATCACCATTCCAAAAAGTAAAAGTAAGTGACCAGAATTATCATCCACACCCATTGCTTAGTCCAGTGTTCCAGATAAGGGGCATAATTCCTGACCAAAAATCAGCCATTTATGGCCTTAAGAAAAAACTGAAAAGTTGTTTTAATGCTGTGGAAAAAATGAATATGGCTCCTGTAGTCTAGTAAATAATTAATGGGTGCATTCATGTAGCTTTCTGCTGTTTTGCACAGTTCACACAGTAGAGCTGCAAACATAAGTGCTCTCTAACTGCCAGAAGTTTCTATTAGTACACTTGTGAGTGATCCAATTTTGTGTAAAAAATAAATTTGTGATGTCAGAATTTGTTTATTATGCCTACATCTGGTGATTTAATTTGCAAAATTAATCCTGTGCTAAATTTTACATTTTGAAATTATAAAATAATACATAATTAGTTAAATTACTCCTGCTGACAGAATTCTGGGAGTGAATACTCTGTACAGAGAACAATTATCTGGAGCATTGTTAATCAATTTTTCCAAAAAAATTATGCCACTAATTAACAGAGCTGAGCAATTAGTTGAATTTGATCACTGATTGATCATCAAGTTCATCAATCTGTTACATTCAACTGATCAGTTATTCTCAGATATGATTTGAATAATTGGAATAATCAAAAATAGTAATAATTGGAAACATTAATTGTTGTTAGTTGATTACTTTCCGGAGTTGTGACACTAATCAATTAAACTGAACAACCTTGAATTAACAGAAAATAATGAAAATTCATGATGGCAATATTTCAATTATTTGGATAGCAAGAGTAATTGGAAACTAATTTTAAAATCTTGATTATTTATATGACATTAATTAACTGTAATTTCAGTTAATTGTCCAGCTATGATTCTCAAAAAACAATCCTTTAGTTTAAAAATACTTAGATTATGACATGTTGCCATGGCAACCTTTTGAAAACACATTTGATAAATTTGCAAAAGCCAATCTGTTTAGGCATAACTGAACAAAGGCAGAAGAAATATATGATGATTCTTCATTGTTCAAAGGATAGTACTTTGTGCAAATTCATAAAATAAACAAAAACAGTGATAAAGCATGAGCACAATAATAATGCACAATTTGTGTATTATTATGCTCGTGTGTTATTACAGTTTTTTATGATTCTTCGCAGACTTTTTATCAGCTTGGAAAGATTATGGGTTGTAACTGAAAATTAAAGACTACATATGAGAGTTGCTAAATGTATCATGGTTTCCATGGCAATAAAGGATGGATTTTAAGTGGTTCTACATCTGAAATGTTCTTCAAATCATGGTCTATTATTAACCAGTTCCTTTTTTTTTGTTATTAAAGGCAAAACAGAGGACTAAAGACCATTTTAATGTATGTAGACAAATGTTGTATTTTAGGTTACCTGACTGATTCTTTAAGCCTCTGTCATCAGTAGTATAGACTCTAATAGCATCTAGTTATTTGATATGTAGAAATATTGAAAAATTACTTTGTTTAATAATTATTTTTATGGAAAAAGTATCAAATATGTATGTCTTGTTTACTTCAAAATTTACTTAGTAGTAAAATCAACTGGAATAAATAAATAATGAAATTTGTTGTCACTTAGTGAATAATGTTTTTTATATTTTGGCAGACTGGAGACTGTTTGATGACAGTCGGGTGAGTTTTGTGCCTGAGACCTCAGTGGTAACACGATCGGCATACATGCTTTTCTACAGACAGCGTGGTATGCCTTTTAATTTTCAAAAACCAGCAGCTACTTGCAGTGTAAAATCAGTAAGTAAGGAACAGAAACAACGGGAAAACCTTCTAGATTTGGAAGCCGATTTGGATACTGATACAGTTCCCACTATTTCTGTGTCAGACAGTAATGTGATTTCGAGCTGTGACATACTACCTTCATCAACAGATATGGAAACACTGGATTGACTTAACAGATGCTTAGAGTCTACATCTATTAGGCCTCTTACTGTGATAACGTCCCTTCGTGAACCACCATATCTTAAATACCTCAGTGCCGTATTGGTCATCAATGAATCTTAACCGTTATCATCCACTTCACAGATCAATGTATCATTGTAACTGTGTTTTTGACCATCACAGGATAAAATCTTACATTTTGCATGGTGATAGAATCAAAGTTGCAGTGTGTAAAAAGCTGTTTTAGCATTTTGCTTGTTGTGTTCCAAACAAATTTCAAATGTTTTTTTTTGTGGTTAATGAATTTTATTATGCAAGTTACTGATACTTTGTTTTTATTAAAAATCTGAAAATTACTATATACAAATTGGGTAGTAATGTATCACTTTTGTTTTGGCTGGTAATCTTATCGCCCTGAGTTTGTACCCTGAAAATAACATTTGGCTGGTAATCTGGAAGTGAATCCTGCTCTTTACTTTGCATTCTTGAGCCCAACTGTTAAATTTGTCCACTGAAGTGACATCTTGCTGGTTATTTTGCATTGGGAAAGTAAAATCTGTCTGTTAATCTTATACTGTGTGAACTTTGTCTGGTAATTTGTGCTTTGGAGGTAAAAAAATATCTGTAATCTTGTACTATGTAAGTGAAATCTTTCTGTTGATCTTGTACTTTGGAGATGAAAAATGTCTGGTATTCTTGAATGCTGAACAGACATATGGCTAGTAATTTATACCAGGAAAAAAAAGACATCTTGTACCCTGAGTTTTCTACCATGAAGTAACATCTTATCAGCAGTTGTATACTGTGGAGGCAATATTTGTCTGATAATCTTCTGCTTAGTAGTATTATCATCCAAGAAAATTATCCCCCTTAATCTTTTTTTTTTTGTAATGTATCAAGCCAACACTCGGTTATTCATGGTAATTTGGGTAATCTTGTACTTCATGCTAGTTTGGTCAGTGAGATTCTACACGAAACATTTAAATCTTATTTAATTTTCCAAGACGTATCATACAAATTGTGTATGTGTTGTTTTATTACTGTGTCATTTCTGTGCTACGTAATTTTTTTTTTTTAGTTTCTATGTGCATTGTCTTTCATAACGTGAATATAATTTATCACTCCTAGAGGAATTAAGAAATAATGAACACCAACTTCATTATTCTAAGAAAATGCATCTTGAAGAAATGGTTATAGTTAATTCAATTTCCCAATAAAGCTTGTATCTACTTTATTTCCAGTCAAGTCAGTAAACATAGGGAATTGTTAAATCCCTTACTTAGAATGTATAATGTTTTTTTGAGTGTTCGGGATTCTTTTATATTGTAGTAATGTTTTTTTTATTATTATTGGATTCTCTTTTGAGCTAATTGATATTTCTGATATGATATAGAAAACCTAATTACAATGAAGATTAACCTGTTGTTTTAAACATGTTTTAATGGGTAAAAAATTAGAATACTAAATCTGAAATGGTATGAATTTTATGTTAATTTAGAGGAAACTATAATCTTGACTCTTCATTGAGAAAAATATTTTACAGTTGTAAGTATAAAAGTCCCCCGGTGGGACAGTGGTAAGTCTTCAGGTTTACAACGCTAAAATCAGGGATTTGATTCCCCTCTGTGGACACAGCAGATGGCCCAAATTGGCTTTGCTATAAGAAAACACACAGATATAAGCAAATTCTTTTTAATAGCAATTTCTGTTCTTTATAGACTTAATAATTAAAAATAATTTATTGTTGTGTTCTAGTGGTTTGTTGAATAATCGTCATTGCTTATCATTCTGGCATGGTTAAAATGATTGTAGAAAGTAGTTTTAAGGTCTTGTAATATATAAATAAAAACATTTACCTCTATTACAAAGTGTCAGTGTAGCTTGTGTGATATAAAGGAAATGCCTTTTAATTGTATGTTTGAGATTGCTTGAAATTTCAGGTGTATAAATTGTTAGTATAAACTTTTTCTTAGTTAAATTTGCAACTTTTGGTATTTTGTGCACAATATTATTTAGAATTATTTATGATTGTTTTATTAATTAGACTTATAAAGTGAAATCATTGTTTCATCCGTTATAGTGTTCACAATTTTATTTTTTTGTTGTTTACCTTTTGGCAATTCTTTGAGAGAAATATTTTTTTTTACTCTCCAAATTTCTTTAAGCAGGAAATTTAAATATGTTCTGTAAAGACTGGTAAAATTTGAACTGTCTTAAAATAATACATAGAAACTCTCTAGTTGTGATATAGATTTAAAGTGATGACCATAGTAATAGTTTCTCAACATAAAATTCTGAGTCCTTTTAAAGAAAAGAATAAAGCTGATACAGAAATACATAAAAAAAATCTTGCATTTTCTCTAAACTTTTATTCGTTATTAGAGAAATTAGAACAGACTAAACTTGTTTTAAAACAGCAGCCATTAAGTTTAAAGTGATATACTGCAAGGAAGGCAAGTGACACCACCACCATCTGACTGAAATAAGGATTTGAGAGTTACTCTTGTATTGCACCCAAAGTGTGGATCATTTTTGCAGCAATGATATGACATTTAAGTTAAGTATCCAGAAATCACGATACTGGATTAGGAAGTACAAGAAAACACATGGGTTTATCCAAATATAATCAATTAGTAGATTAGTTTTCTAAGTTCAATACATGCCTTCCATGATAAATCTTCAAGCAATATGATGCATATTATTGTGATTAAGGCAACATAAAAGAGACGATTAACGTTATTAACTAGGTTTGGTTGCGCACACAAACAAGAATCCCAAAATGTGTGTGTGTGGAAATATTTGGTTATGCATATCAGTGTTACCAACCACTGCAATGAAGAAATGTCTTCTTCTAGAAAAACAATTCATTGTGAAACTGCCATTATGTCTGAAATGTGATGACCAAACAAAAAGAAGTAATGCTAGTGTGAATTCATTTTTTTGTACAACAAATACTTTTTCTAACATTTAATATTACACAAAACACATAGTCAAGTTTTTATTGTAAAAGTACTTCTTTAAATAAAAAGAAGTAATGCTAGTGTGAATTCATTTTTTTGTACAACAAATACTTTTTCTAACATTTAATATTACACAAAACACATAGTCAAGTTTTTATTGTAAAAGTACTTCTTTAAATACTGAATTTCTAGAATAATACAAAAGAATTATAATCACAGACACCAAAATCTACAAGTCTGCTTGTCTTAAGCCTATATTAAGTATGGCTTATATTCAATAAGGAGATAAATTAACACTGTAATTTATGCATGTTTTTTTGCTTTAGTTTAATTGCTAAACTTTACCATACTTACTACTATCAATAAATAAAATTATAATGTTATACTATGCCCTAATGCTTTGATAAGTTTTTAATATATTTAATATAATAGTCTAGTAAAGTATATTTACATCTACCTTTTGTTTACATCCGTTGAAATGAAGCACACTCACATGTGCATTTAGATAGCATGGCACACAAAAACAAGTATTATTATGGCATTATACTGTATATATGAAGCCTTGGAAATCCACTCTGAAATATTTTTGTGATGCTCATGTGACTATTTAACAACTATACACATTTTTAGATACCAAAAGCCGAAAAAAATTAACACAATTTTGGAAAGAGTATGATTTTAAAAGACTTAAATTAGCAGTGCAAAAACAGATACTATTATTCAAATAGTAGTTGTGAAGACTTTATTCACACATTTCTACAATGTAAAGATTATTCGTAAAAAAAAAAATGGATTTTTACTTATGAACTGTACCTATTCAACAATGCCATTGATTCAAAATAAAATTAACTGTAATTAATTTCTTGGAAATACAACAATGATGTTAAATTCCTCCTCTCACAGGTGGCGATACTAATATCACTCCATCTCCACGTACAAATAACATTGGAATATTTCTCTTAGTTGTCTTGAGTAAAAAAGAAAAGACAAAATGATAATTAAATAAAAAATGGAAACATTGTTTCAGAATAAACTTGTTAATACATTGAACACAAACATAATACATTACATGCTTTTTAAAAAGAAAATGACAATTAATCCTAAATCCTACAAATATTGGTTCTAAGAGTGGTGTTCAGAGGTAGCAGGGAATTTTTGTCCCAAGCAAAATTTATTGTAAAGTCAGTTGAAACAATCCTTTCTTTTTTCTTTAATAGTAGCTAAAACTTAATGTATTTATTTAGTTTAAACATCAAATGTCACATAGAATATATCAAGTTTGCTTAAAAATATTTCCTGAAGTTGATATAACAATATAACCTTGTCAATTATACTTGTAAAGTTTTTTATACACAGCTAGTGTTATTCAAATAAGAACTATAAGACAACATATTTGTTACAAATAGTATTTCAAATCCAACTCAATCAGTAAGCTTCTGTATTTATTCATATTGAAAATATATATTAAAATTTCCATAATTATTTATATCTTACGGAGTATAAACTTATCAAAAAGTACATAAAACAAGCAAATAACAATGAACTAGATAGATATGAAGTTTAGAGACGGCTTGAATGGGTAATGAAAAAACTTTATACAAATGTACACTGTATCTGATGATGACAAAAGCTTGTCAAAATGTTTTACATTTGTTATAGTTTCTTCCACTATCCATTCAAGCCATCTCCAAACTTTATTTTTTAAAAAGTGGGTTCCTCGTCACCAAATTTGGATGGATATGAAGATGCATTTTCCAAAAACATTAACTCAAGAATCCTGCTCTTTTATTACATTTGAAAATAAAATGATCTTTACACCTTATCTATAAGCTTCACTCTTTTGGGAGGCTTGCTTTCAGTTACTTAGACATTTTCAATATTATTCAGCTACTCAAAGTTGGAATTAAACATAAAAATACTGATTCCTACTTTGTAAACTTCTTCATAGGTTTCATCATCAATCTCAACTGTTGTCACTGTTTCTTCAACATCACCAAGAATAATATTCAGATGTTGATCATAAGCCTGAAAGTGAAATAAACCTTATTTCACATAAAAATAAATGTTAAGTATGTCAGTTTGATAGGAGTTGAGTTAAGAAAAAAAAAGTTAATTATTAACATGATGTTACATACATGAAGTCTTCCTCGTAGCTCTCTGTCATTCCTCATTTTGACATAGATTCTTTCATCTAGACTAAGGCGTACAAGATCAAGGGGCTCTTCAACTGCATTAGCTGCTGTCTGTAAACAGAAATTACACTTTTATAGAAGTCTATTACAATTTATAGTAAAGGTATTAAACCTTTTTAACAATCAAAATAAGATCAGCTTATTTTAGCTTGGGAATAAAAGCTTTTACTTATTAATATACAAAGAAGCACTTTACAGAAGAATAATCAGTTTAGTTAAGCTATGCAGAATAACATCAAATATATAGAAAGCCATTCAAGATCTCAAAGACAATAACATTAATTACGGTGCAAAAACATCACATTTTTATAAGTATTATTAACTAGTAGTAATTAAAAACAAAGTATAATTCTAGTGTAAATGATGTTATTATTATCCTTGAAGTTAGTTTTTTATAAAGCTTAAGAACATGATGAAACAGGAATTACCAGCCAAAAATAGATAAACAATACATATTACAGCTTGAACCTCACTGTATTTAGAACTTCGTTATAAATACAACCTTCCTATGTCTATTGAAACACTGCATTAAAAAAAAGGAAGTAAATGTAAGGATGGCATTTACATCATCCCTACATAATAACACAGGCAAGAATTAACATACAGCAATATATATAACTATTGAATCGCAATAGAATTTATCCTATTTTGTCTGTTAACATTCTACCTCATGTAATATAGTATGGATGATGCAAACACTTTCCATACTATCTTGTTTACTTTCAAAGGCAATGATACATATGACACTAAAAATACAAATAAAAGTTTAAGTTGCAGGCTTGAAATAAATGGATCATGTAATCAGACCTTTAGAGAAATTAACAAAAATATGTGAAGACAATTTAGACATGGGAATATATATATATATATATAGTAACTTTCACTAACTTAACAACTAAAA